CCAGGACAGAGAAGGAACAGGGACAGAACTGTTCTGGAGCTGCCCTGAGACCTGACGCCACTCACTGTCTTCCTCTCCCCCAGCCATTCCCTGCCCGGTGAGGACACCATGCACGGGGAGTCTCAGGGATTGTTGATCCTGATGTGTCACCTAGCTGTTTTTGGATGGCAAGGGACTGGAAACACTTACTGAAGTAAAAGAAGTTATTATTTTTTAATGGTAGAAATACATTAGGAGACAAGAGTGCGTTTGGACCTAGCAGGCCCAGGGGCTCACACTCTCACAATGTGACCTGGACCCTCTCCAACGCTCCATCCTGCTAAGTGCTCTGGGGTGGCCCCATTCCCAGGCACAGTCTCTCTCACTGCATCTGGGGCCTCTCACAACTCCAGGCTGACTCCCACTCACCATCCATTCTACTGGGAAGGGTTTCTCTTTCCCTTGGGTTCCATGAAAAGTCATGGCTTTAAGGGTTTTTGGCCTGGCTTCAGTCACATTCTCATCCCTGAAGCCATCAGAGCACCCAGAAGATAGAGCAAGTGGTTGGGTAGATTTGCATCATACGCCCATCTCTGAGGTGGGTGGAAAGTGGGGTCTGCCCTCTGGAACTGTTTGGATGGGAGGCAGGTGAGATGTGGTTCCCAAAGGCAAGCTGAGCTGCTGGACTTGGACGTGAAAAGAGATGCCAGGCTGGGAAAGCAGCAGATTCCGCATCACTGGTGACTGACTGCAGGGCTGTGGAATCTGAAGCCCAAGGAAGGAAGGGGTCACTTAGAATCAGGGGCTGCAGCCACCCATCCAGTGCTCTTGCTGTTCTCCCATGATGGCAAGATGCTCTTCCACTTGCTGAAAAAGCAATTTTGCTGTTGGTGGGAAACTCAAGGCTCCTGCCTAGGACATTGGGTCCTTGCATCTCAGAGACTGGAAGGCACACAGACCTCACTCGTGTCCCTGGGAGGGGGGAGCCCCGGAGTCACACCTGCCCCCCCCCACATTAATCACCCATCCCCAAAGAACAAACTGGCTCATTTTCCAGTCTCTTCTCTCTCCTTTACAAAGAGCAGAGACCAAATGTGAGGCTGGTAAGGAAATTATGGCTCATTGAATCAGTGTGAGGCTCAAGATTATTCCATGGCACGGAATCCACACTTGGCAGGGTGTTCAAAGGCCAAAGACCCTGGGTCATGCACGTGGCTCTCCGAGACCATGCAGCCTCAGTGAGAAACTGCCTGCTGGGAGACACAGCCACTCCCATATCCTTGATTCTTCATGAGTATGCATGTCTATATCACAACCAGGAGGCCAAAGGACTACAGGACCAGTCTGCTTGTATAACCTCTGCCCCCCGGGCATCCCCCTTGGCCCAAGCCTCGTTGGTCTGTGGAGGTCCTGGGGAGCGGTGACTCAAGCAGCCCCTCATCCCACCCCGCTGTCCGCATCCCCAGACCCTTTCCCTAGCCCCTCCCACACCGGCACACCCGCGTACTCAGGTACAGATTCCAAAAACCAAGAGCAGCAACTGTGGGTCAGGCACAGTTGGGCACAGTGCAGACCCGGTAGCTAATGAAAATATACATATATTACTATATGCCACTGTTTTAACTCATTTGAACCGCATGATGACCCAGAAGTGGGAATTATTCCCATTTTACAGGTGAGGAAAATGAGGCACAAGGATTAAGTGGCTTGCCCAAAAATCTTCCAGAGTGTGTGAGACCTAGGATTTAAGCTCAGGTTCTTAACCACCACTCTGGGCTTTCACTCTGAAACACACCTCGTTTTCCCCTTAGCAGAACCTTCTCTCCACTTTTGTTTCCCCCCAGGCATAGCACCTGTGTTTTGTTTTCTTTTGTTTTAAAGATTTTATTTATTTAAGAGAGAGAGCATGCTTGGCAGAGGGAGAGGGAGAGGGAGAAGCAAGCTCCCTGCTCAGTAGGGAGCCCAGGCAGGGCTCCATCCCAGAACCCTGGCATCATGACCTGAGCCGAAGGCAGCCACTTAACTGGCTAAGCCACCCAGGTGCCCCTGTTTTCTTTTGTTTTAAATGCCCTTTTCTCTTTTATTTCCAGCTGCCTCCCAGCCCCACCCACAGACTGACCTTCCAGGCCAGGCAGAAGGCAATGGTGAACCACAGGCCAGAAACAGCACAGCATGAAGAAGACAGCCAAGCCGAGATGGTCAGGTGGTCAAGGGGGTAGTGATGTAGGAAACAAAAGCAAAAGAAATGTAGCTTAAATTAAATCTCCTTACAGCTTGCAGCCCACAGATGGATACTTGAAACATGCGGAGCGTGACCTTCCTCAAGGAACTCACGGCCACTTTAGTGCCTTAATGTTTATGTTTTACTGAAGACTAGAAGTAACCTTGTCTTGCCAGCAGCTGGCCCCTCGAGGTCCTAAGAGCCTCGCTTCCAGATTCCTTGGAGACTTGTGCTATGCCTCACCCCTACTAATTAAAAAGTATGATCAGTCACTCCTCACAATCCCAGTACAGCTCTTTCTGCCCACAGGTCCTGTTCTGGGAGCAGGGAAGAGGTGACGGTGTACGCAGGGAGAGACAGGAGGCCCCTGACTCCCCTCACTAGGCTCTGAAACTATTCCTGGCAGGTGGAGATGCTGAGACAGAGCAGAACAAGGGATAGGGGGACAAACCAAGATGGCACAAGAGTCTCAAGGCCACAAGCTTCCTGGTCAGTTCTCAATAAAAGACTGCCACTAGAAGCCCTCATTAGCAACCCACTCAGGACCCCTCTCACTCTAGAGAGATTTTTCTTTCCTTTCTGTTCTCACCTTCACTTAATAAGCTTTCACTTTGCTTCACCCTTTTGTGTTGGGAAGATTCATTCTTGGACTCCGTGAGACAAGACCCCTGAAACCCTGTGACTGTAGGAGGAAGGAGAGAAGGCTGCCCCATCCCAGTCTGAGTTGCTGTCACTGGATGATGCATCCTCAAGGTCAGGGGGCCCTGGCTCCCCCAGGCCAGTGCTCACAGAGGGAAGAGATAGTGATAGGGACTGCCAAACCCTCAGACACTGTGAAAAGACTGTCGCTCAAAAGGGAGGCCCCAACTCGGGCCCACCAGGCTTCTGGACGTGGGGCCCACAGGCCACACCCACCAGCAGAGGCTGTTGGAGCTCTGGAAGACTGGGGCTGTCCGTGGCTGAGGAGAGGATCCTGGAACGGTTTCTGTCTACGGCCATAGGTCGGGACCTCCTGGGCCCCTGCACTGACAACCACCCTCCCCCGGCCCCCCCCGACAGACCCTGGAGCCCCGGAAGCCTGCAGGTGATGGAACTCCGTGAGCTCCGTGCTCCCCCGGACACGGGCCTAGGGACTGGGGGTCGGAGCCCTCCACTGGGCTCCCCCTAGAAGACACATAAAATTACCCATCCCAGGGCCTACTTCTAGATTTTATATTAAATTATATTGATAAGACTATATACTTATTTGCCAAACCGAACAGTTTTAACATTAACTTTATAAGAAATGTTAATATCTGACAGGCTAGCCCACCCACAATTATTTTCAAGGTTCCTTGCTATTCAAGTTATTTTTACACATAATCTTTTTTTTTTTTTAAGATTTTATTTATTTGACAGACAGAGACACAGCGAGAGAGGGAAAACAAGCAGGAGGAGGGGGAGAGGGAGAAGCGGGCTCCCGCTGAGCAGGGAGCCCGATGCGGGGCTCGATCCCAGGACCCTGGGATCATGACCTGAGCCGAGGGCAGACGCTTAACGACTGAGCTACCCAGGCGCCCCTACACATAATCTTTTTAACCAGCTTGAAAAATTCCACAAGTTAAATTGTTATTTTTATTGGAATACATTAACATCTGGAGACCCGATGTATTTATAACACTGAGTATTTCTGTTGGAGAGCACATTATGCCTTTCCATGTGCTTCTTTTCTTTCTGTCACTATCCTTTTGAATTTTTCTTATTTGTTGCCAAGTCTTAGTTTGGGAAGTTTTTTTTTTTTGAAGGTGTCGTAGTTTTGTTTTAGTTTTGCTATTTAATGGGTCCTTTTACTCCACTGTATCTTATCCAACAGGAAGAGACCACCTTGCAAGTGCATCCTACTTTACCAACTTCTTTACTATCCCAGCAGGAGGAAGGATGGTTTCCTAGCAACAGCCTGGCCAATGAGAGACGGTCATAGCTCAGCCAATGAGAAGTCAGGACACTTCAACTCCCTTTACTCCCGTGAACATTTTGTTTTCAATGGCCTTCCCAAATCTCCCTTCTCCTCTCTAAAAGAGTAGCCCTCTCCTTTGTTCCGAGGACTAGCCTGTGTTTTTGCCATGGTTTGCTAGTCCTGGATTGCAATTCTCTGCTATTCCAGGATAAAGCCATTTCTGCTGGTAAGATAACTAGCAGCTTTCCTTTTAAGGTTAACGGTGAGCACTTGAAGAGCGAGATGTTGTCTTTTTAAAATCTCAAGTTCTTTGAGCAGTGAAGCCAACAACAGGGACCACATAGATGCTCCTGCACAAGATCGACCAGCAACTCTGCGCCGACCCAAACATCTGCCACTACGCAAAAGGTCTCACAGTTTCTAGAAGCTCCCCACTCTCTTACTGTTCCCTCTACTCCCAAACTCCCACCCAGCACTATTCTCGTGGGAACTGGAGAGGTCTGTGGGCCCTTAAAGGTCTGATCGGCCACTCCCTTCATGACGCCAGGGGAGCAGTCCGCTTAACTGGGCAACTTTGCCTGGAATCTGGTGGTCCTTCCATGGTAAGAATTCTGGAGTTAGGAGGCCTACTTTAAGTACAAGGAAATCATGTTACGTTTCTGTGATCAAAACTTAGTAAGGGCCAGAAACACTATTCCCATTTTATCTGCTGAAAGCCAGTAGGTCTTAAACTGGCCCACTTCTGTGGACCCACTGTCCTTACATTTGATGCATTTTTATGCAAAATACTTGTATTTTTTTTTCAGGTTTTTTTTTTCTTCGATTTTATTTATGTCTTCTTACTTCTAAATGACTTTTTTTTTTTTAAATATGGAACACTTCACAAATTTGCATGTCATCCTTGAGCAGGAGCCATGGTAATCTCTGTATCATTCCACTTAAGTATATGTGCTGCCGAAGCCAGGGCTACTTCCGATGACTTTTAGACCTACATTATTTAAACATGCTTTTTACTCACAAATGCCACTTCTACTTTTAGTATAAGAATTCTCTGAGTGGGAGCACCTGAGTGCTCAATTAGTTAAGCATCTGTCTTTCGATTTCAGCTCAGGTCATGATCTGAGGGTCGTGAGATTGAGCCCTGCGTGGAGCCCCACCTTGAGCCCTGATCCAGGCTCCTCACAGGGCATAGAGCCTGCTTAAGATTCTCTCTCTCTCTCCCTCACCACCGCCCCCCCACCCCACTTGTGCTCGCTCTCTCTCTCTCTCTAAAAAAAAAGAAAAAGAATTCTCCGAGTGGTTTTCTAATATACTTATTATTCCATTTGTTGGGTTTAAACCTTTGAGCCGTATAGACTTTATTTGGTGCCTATACATTGTCTCATCACAAATTACTGAATTACATAGTTGTCCCCTGAATGTAATGCGATATTCATTGTGTACTAAATGCTCATATATAGCTATTGCTAAAGGTGGATTTTACAAGGAAGGGCACGGGTGGCCTAGGAGACCCTTCCAGAGCCTGAAAGTCTGTCAGGACACAGGACGGCCAGGTCCATCCTAAAGACCAGATCCGCCGTCAGCTCAATGCGCTATGCTCAGCCTGGGATGCAGGATACTCTGCTCGGCCTCCTGCCGTGCGCAGCCTTCACCAACGTGTGGGTACAGAAAAGAATCAATGAAAACTGCCATACTACGCCTGCGTGCTGGGGCTTCTTGACAGACACGCACTGGACTCAGAGCAGCCAATCCCCGCGGGGTGGGGCGGGACCGCCCACGGGGGTGGAGTTCTGCCAATGACTGACACACACAGCTGGCCCTACGCTCCGCCCCATTAGACCCTTTCTGACCGCCAATTGGAGGGAACAGTTTCATTGCAGCGCTGATTGGTGGCTTCTGCCTGACGGGGCAGTACAAGCCGGTGTCTCGCCTTCTGAGGCGGCTCACTTCGCACCGGGCGGGAAGCGCGCAGGGGCTCCGCGAGGGCGCCAGACCAGGGTGGGCAGGGAGGGAGGCCGGGGAGACTGACGGGAACACGGAGGCCTTTGCCGTGCCCTGTGAAAACCTTCTAAACCCTGACTCTGAAACCTTCAAATCCCACCCGGGAGACCCTAGGTCCCCTCACCCTGGCTGGCTCCAAATCCCCTCAGCCTCAAGGGACACCAAGTCTCGCCTCCTTAAGGGAACCCGATTCCGCTGCCTTGGTGGCACCTCACATCTCGGCGTGAGACCCCAAAGCACCTCAGCTGCAGAAACCTCAAATCCCTTCACCCAGAGAAACACTAAATCCCTTAATACTTAGACCCCAAAATATCCTGAGTAACACAAATTGCCCTCAGCCTGAGGCACCCCCAAAACCCTCAGCCTGAGACACCCAAAATGTAGCACCCGCAGAGAACAAATTTCCCCAGCCTCAGAGACCCTAAATACCCTCAGCCTGTGAACTCTCAAATCCCTTCAGCTTCACAGACCCCAGGGAACCTCCAAGTCAGAAAACCTAAAGCCCATTAATGAGAGACTCCAAATCTTAGAATGAGAGACCTCAAATTCCCTCAGTCTCGAAGATCCCAAATCCTCTCAACCTAAGCATTCTAAATCTCTCCAGCCTGAAAGACCCCAAATCTTGTCCTGAGAGACTGCCAATACCATCGGCCTGAGGAACCCCAAATGTCCTCTGCCTGATGCCCCAAATACCCTTGACATGAGAAACCCCAACCCCCTCACCCTGAGTGAGACCAAATCCCCTCACCCTGGGATCTCTCTGTCCCTTAGAGATCGAGCCTGTTTATACCAGATTTTTCCAGAATCCCCAGGGGGACATCCCAAGAAACCCTTCTTTGAGAAATAATCACTTCCTGTCCCTGGAACAGAGCTGTGATAGTCTGTCCCCAGTCCAGGCATTCAGGGACCCCCAGGTCTCCTTGGTGCTCTTCTGGCCTTGCACCTCAGGACTCCCATCAAACACCCACAGCCACATCCTTCAAGGAGCCTTTGCGACCTTTTCCTCAGATGGGCCAAACTGCAGCGGAATAAAAGACACAAAATCTAGCTGTTAGGATGGCCTGTCACTGCCAATAGGGATTCTTCCATCCCACCAATACCCCCAGACCTTCCCTGCATCTTTTAATCCTCTCTGGGGTCCCCACATCTTCTTGTTCTGGACACCCCGCCCAAATGGAGAAGACAGGCGTGGCTCTGGGCAGTGGTCTGGGCTGTCACCCTCTCTCAGCACCTTCTTCTTCCACAGGCCTTGGGGCAGAGAGACTCATGGGGCCATTGCCAGCCTCAGAGTCAGAGCAAGGCCTGCCGGGAGGTCCCAGCACCATGAGCCTCAACAGGTCCCCAGAGGAGACCCCTGAGAGAGACTCAGGGAGAACAGGATGGAAGCCCACGGTGAGAGGTGTGGGAGAAGCTGGGCTCCAAGCATGTCTGTAGGAAGGATGAGGAGGGGGCCTGGTGACAAGGCGCTGGTCCCTGGAGGACCACGGACTCCTGGCCTACATTCGCTGCGTCTGCTCCTTTACAGGATGGGGCTTGGGGGCAGGGGCACAGGACAGTACCATCAGCAATTGCTCTCTGTCAGGAGAGAGCTAGTAAAACGCTCAGTGTTTGTTCGGTTAATCGGGACACCATCAGGAAGGAGAGAAGCTCTTTACCCTTGCTTCACAGAGGGCACTCTGAGCAATGGGGGAATGCACTGCATTTAAGGTGGAGGAGAAGGCCCAGCTCGAAATCCCAACTTGTATTAGTAAGTCACTGATGGAATCTCTTATTTTCTCTAGGCCAGAGATGCTTTCAAAGACATTTCCATATACTTCTCCAAGGAAGAATGGACAGAGATGGGAGACTGGGAGAAAATCCGATATAGGAATGTGAAAAGGAACTATGAAACGCTGATTACGATAGGTAACCAGAAGTGCCGGGTGCTGACAAGACTGGAAAACATGAAACAGGCCTTCAGTCCCTGTATTAGTTTGCCTCTTGGGTGGCTCTGTCTGCTCACAGTTCCCTTCTGTGTGAAGACAAATCTGGAGCAAAATTTTGTTCTTTACTATCAGTGTAGTGCTCGGACTGGCAATGCAGAGCTCACCTCTCGCCTTGCTTTAGACTCTACCAGCTCATCCAATTGAGTCACACTGACTGGGTGGTGCTGTCCATTGCCACTGTGCTTTGTTCCTCCTTCTAGCTCTTCCCTTTTAGGACAAGAATTTTGCTTCTTTCCAGGTCTCAGAGCCCCTCGACCAGCTTTCATGTGTCACCGCAGGCAGGCCATCAAACCCCAAGTAGATGACACTGAGGATTCTGATGAAGAATGGACACCAAGGCAGCAAGGTGAGGGGCCAGGAAGATTTTGAGGTTTCCTCCTGAAACCCAAGGTTTAGGTCTCAGCTGCATCTCAGGAGTTAACAAAGGAAACTATTTCCTCAACAACATAAATGCAAGATGCAAAACAGCATATCATAGAGTAAGAGGCTATTCATATAAAGATTTTAAATGTGGACAATAATTATATTATTTATAAATACATTAATAGTGTATAATAGGTGGTAAATGTATTAAAACAAAAGAAATGCCAAATTCCGAATAGTTATCATAAGAGAAAAAGGAAGGGGTGGCAGGTGGCTTTGCTGTGTCTTGGCTAGTTTTCTCTAAGATTTCATGTATTTGAGAGAGAGAGCATGAGAGAGAGCCCGGGTTGGGGGGAGGGGCAGAGGGAGAGGGAGAAGCAGACTCCTCACTTGGCAGGGAACCCGAAACAGGCCAATCCCAGGACCCCAGGATCATGACCTGAGCTGAAAGCAGACGCTTAACCGATTGAGCCACCCAGGCACCCTACTCTTCTGTTTGTTTGTATTTCTGTTTCTGAATTTTAAAATAGAAATTAAAAGATGTAAAGGTAAAAATAAAAAGATATAAAGATATATAGTTGTGGCAGAATGTTGAGATAAGGCTGAATGGTGGTGGATATATAGGTCTTCCAGTATGATTCTCCACACCTTTCTGTATATTTAAAATTTATCATTTTTTAAAAAAGACTCTTTTCCCTAAACATTATTAGCTAATGAAAGGACGGTTAAAGAAACCTTAATTAGACTGTAAGTCCACCAAAGTGCTAATCTCAGTTATTCTTATTTTTCAGTTATTGGATTAAATGTCTTAGAAGAGAATATGATGAACATATGTACAGATACATAATTCTGTATCTTTAACCACACACATCTTTTTACCCCAAAATGAACCAGATTCTTTGTCTTAATTCTGGAAGAGCGTTTGAGATAACTATTTTGTCTCCCTGATCTTTCCCACATATAACTTACCAGAGCAGCATCAGGCAAATGACATCAGATGCAATCATTACAAAAGAGAACTGAGAAACATTTCCTCTTCTGCTATTCAGACAAGAGAGTTTAGAGGAAGAGTCGATCTCCCTAAACTGGAGAAAGCAACTTGGATTAGGTCTATGATTCCATCTATGGATTTCTGATTCCTTAGGCTCTTTTTTTAAATATTTTTTAAATAAATTTATTTATTTATTTATTTGAGAGAGAGCGACCACGAGTGGGGGAATGGGCAGAGGGAGAGAAGCAGACTCCCCGCTGATCACGGAGCCCAACACAGGGCTCCACACGAGGCTCGAAATCATGATCTGAGGTGAAACCAAGAGTTGGCTGCTTAACTGACTGAGCCACCCAGGTACCCCAGATTCCTTAGGCTCTTAAAACTAGTGTAAGGGATCTGAAAACACAACTGCCTGGTTGTTCACAAAGGTTTTGACATGAAAAGAAAGTCTTCATAGGGAACATATACCCCATGGTTTACCATATATCTACACAGCTTTATCTGGACTCAGCTAAAACCCCTACCCCACTCAATGTTTTCATTTTGGTTATAAAACATAATAACAACATAAATTTACTCTCTTAACGACATTTAAGTATATAACACAGTATTGTTAACTATATGCAC